GTGAGATAACTTGATTCGAAAAGGATAAACATGTTCCATACTTGAAAGTTTCTAATAAAAATATTGAATTATACTTTAATAAATGATCTACTATACATTTGACTTTTAATCACTTTTCATTGAGAAACTCATTTGGTATATATATATATATATATATATATATATATAGATATATGTATATATATATATAGAGGTGACTCCAAGTCTATATCAACTAATTGAGATGGCTTATGGACTCGAGTTATCCGGGGTCCCTTTCTTTTGGGTTCTAAGGAAACCATCTGGGTCGACCACCGAGTCTGATGACTCGGTCGAGTTGCCAGATGGGTTTGAGGAGAGGGTTAAGGGTAGAGGGATCGTGTGGAGGAGTTGGGTGCCTCAGCTGAGGATACTGAGTCATGACTCGGTGGGTGGATTCTTGACTCATTGCGGTTGGAGTTCTATTGTGGAGGGACTTATGTTAGGTCTTCCTTTACTGACATTGCCGTTTTTGGTTGACCAAGGTTTGAATTCTAGGGTTGTTGCGGAAAAGGGAGTAGGGGTGGAAATACCGAGAAACGAGGAGGACGGATCCTACACGAGAGACTCGGTCGCCGACTCGGTGAAACTCGTGATGCTTGAAAATGAAGGGAAAAGGTTTAGTGAGAGGGCTAAAGAAATGGCTGAAATATTTGGTGATGTTGATCTCCATGGTAGATACATGGACAAGTTCATCGAGTTTCTCGAAAATCATAAGAGTTTGTCGTCGACGGATTAGTTCGTTAATTGCTTAGTTTATTACTATGGCATGTTGATGTATATGTTCGTCATGCGAATTTGTTTGGAGAGCCTCGCATGAAAGAGCATACTATCTATGAATAATTATAAGGTATTGTATGTATGTTTTTTTTTAATGTATCTATCTACCTAGCAAAGCCTGTGTTATTTGCTAACCCGACTTGCCTATCCTTTTAACTCGGCTTGGCATGGGTCGGGTTATCAGACAATTGTCGACCCGACCCGATCCAACTTACCGATCGATCAATTTGCTGAATAATGAAAACTATTATGGCTTGGCCATTGGGACTTTGTCGGCTGGAAAAAAGATTGTTTCATTGGTATTACTGATCATCTAATAATTTTAAAAAATATAAAAGATTCACAAAGATAATATGACATTTGATCCGGGCACGATTGCGCTAAGAATTTTTCTTTAGGCCCAAACGCCCACGAGGCTGCCACTAGCTCCATCATAGGAGTCTTGAGGTATAAGAAAAGACGGACTTTTCATTGTCATATTTTTCTTCCTATCTTCGAATACCCAACTGACTTGCTAATCGAAGTGTTAACGCCGGAAAACTCCTTCCGGTACTCTTTTTTTACAGGTCGTTTTGGCTTGACTTGGGCTTTTCTCTTCAGGCCTTCCTTAAACAGTTCCCCAATCCATTATATATTCTCATTTCTTTGTTCGAACCATTTAGGTCGAATCAATATTCTATTAACTTGTTTAAAATATTTTCAAAAGACATTCAAATTATCGGTAGAAACCTTCTCTTGCAAAAGCCTTAATTACCTTAAGAGTTTCTACTAAATTGCTATTATAAGTAAATATATGAAGACGAATAGAAATTAATCAATTATAAAAGAAAATAGCACGACCATATCTATAACATTGAATTTTAAGCTTTTGAATTTTGACTTCTTTTATATATTATTTTAATTTTTTAGTTTTGATTTTCAGTAAAACCATGCTATCATAATTTTATTAAATTAACATTTATATATTTATAATAAAATGTTATTATTAAAAAAGTCGGTTATCGGCTGGTTAAACTTGTCGATCTAACTCTATGGATCGATTAGTAATCGTTTATCAGCCATGAAAAATAGTTCAATAGTAGGTTGGCGGGTCGATAACACCTCCAATGCACAATCTTATTTTTAACACTATTTGGACAAGTCCCGATTGGCCCAAGGCAGAAAAAATGAAAACAAAAATCAAAAAATATTATGGATGTTTGTTTTCGTTTTCAAACCACTTTCCAACTTTTATACTATACATAAAATCGGGATTACGGGATTATGTTTGTTTATAATTTTCACTTGGAAATTCCTACTTTTCTTAAAATTTTCTCCAATAGAAATACACTATTCATACTTTTCCCACTTTTCAAACCTACAATTATACCTACTAACCTATTTCTCTCTCCTCCAATTTTTCTCACATCTCATTAATAATAATAATAATAATAATAATAATAATAATAATAATAATAATAAAAAAAAAAAAATAATAATAATAATAATAATACTAATAATCATAATAATAATAATAATAATAATAATAATAATAATAATAATAATAATAATAATAATAATAATAATAATAATAATAATAATAATCACCATTATCATCATCAATCATTATATTATACTTTTGCACGTACTTTCGTAGAGAAAACACAACACAACCAAATATATTCTCATTTCTACATCTATATAAAACTAAAACTACCACTTCATCCTAACATATTCTCAATTTCTACACAAAAACCAATTCATCTATCTTTTCATAAAAATTGAACTAGAATCTCATTAGATAGATACCAACATCCCATATATATATAT